CAAGGTCGTTGACTGGGATTGATGCCCAGGCTATGCAGCTACGGCTAGACCCAAAACCAGAAGTGAACATGGTCGGGGGGAGGGGAGAGAGCCCCAGAGGGAAGAAATGGCACCTGTGTACAGGGCCTCCCGGGAGTAACCCTCTGGACAGGTTGGTCTCCGTTCCCAGGACGGAGCAGGTGACAGCCCCCAAACAGGGCTGGGATGCACAGCTTTTGCCAGAAGCAGTGGCATTCAACTCAGAGGCCTCCCAGATCCCCTCCGGATGGGATGACACCCTGATGCGGGGGTTGAAGCGGGAGAGGTTTGTGCCAATCCCGGGGGTTATGCTTACACTCTACGCAGTGCAGTGCTCCTACCCGGTGGGGTGGTAGGGGTGAAGGACTCATGAAAGGTCCCTTGATGTTCCCCAATGGCATCCCGGTCAGGGGGCGGGTTGGTAGCAAAGTCCAGTGGAGCCTTCACCCTTCAGCGGTGCCCGGCTGCTGCAGCTGCTCAGCATCTTCAGCCAGGGGAACGTACCTACTAAAAGGTGGCTGGGCGGCTTGATAGCTCTGGTAAGAGCTGCCTCAGTCCCTTCCTCCCCAGGCATGCTGGTCTTCAGCGCTGGGATCTTCAATGCGCTCGTCCGTTGGGCTTTGTGATTTCCACCTCCGTATCTCCAGCACCTCCCCAGGTGCTTTTGCCTGGGGGTTTTACAGCTAGGCCCATCGGGGACATGGTCACCCAAGAGGACTAAGCTGACCAAGCAAAACACGCACTTTTGCTCCAGCTATTTGCACACCTGACCAGAGTGGGAATGAGCACACGGCTTAGGGAGCCTTCTCCAAAGCTCCCTTGATCGACAGTCCAGGCTACCTGATCCGAGAGAGCCAATCACTTCAAAAGTAAAGTGCAAGAACCTTCTGGCGCAGTACCTGCCCTTGTAGAAAGGGCACGGTGACTGGCAGTTTACCTACTAGCATGTTCTCCATTATATCCTGTGGTGGTGTTGCCGGGGGCTTAATTCACCACAGCCTTTCACCGAGAGTGGAACAAATGAATAAAAGAGAGGAGTGTACATGCAGGTGAGCAACTGCAGCAAAAGCCTCTAAACACACAACTTCTACAGATAGTTCAGACCTTGCTTTAAGCCTGATTATATTGGTTCAACTTCACTTATACATTCACACAAGCAAATTAAGTAGCTATAAGCACACCTAACTTGGTTCAGCTTGATACCGTTACATCAATCTCACTAAAGCACCATAAACAGCAAGTTTAGAAGCTTGCCCTGTTAAACTTCAGCCAGGCAGCAATTGCTGCCTCGGACAAGGTTCCATCACTAAGTGCTTAAAACAGCACGTACTGGCAATCGATTAAAACTCCGTCTGGAGCAAACACCAAAGCCAAGAACCTCCTTCTCCATACACATGTCCTCATTGAGAGTCATGCTTATATTATGGCTATATAAGTGAAATTAAGCAAGAAGGTAGATTATGTCCTTCGACCAGCCTCGCACAGCCTAGATGGTGCTACATATAGGTGGAAGCCCTAGTTGTCAGACTACCTGTACTAAAGGAGCAGAAGAGGCCACCTATAATGGAGTGATCCTTATTTTCTTGAGTCTTAAGAGACTGATTCCAGATGAGGTTTCAAGGCTGTGAATCCCAAGAAGAATCAGATATCTACACTCTGATCTTTTTAACTGCACTGTCGTCTGCACTGTCGTCACCCTTCACGTGCATCAGCTTTGGTAGCTCCCCTGCTCACACCGAGTCCCACTCTGAGGCACTATTTCTCTTATATGGTATAGGAACTGTAGCTAATTAATTCAGGGATGACAGTTTTGCTTCCAGGAAACATGCCTACAAGTGTTGCAATGCTATCACATCAGCTTTGCTTCCATTTTTGAATCTAGCTATAGATACCAAGCAACAAACAGATTAACACTGTAAAACAATGTCAAAAGGCAAGCACCTAATATAATCAATCCCCAGTAAACACCATGACTAATTCAGTGTTGAAAAGAATACAAACCCACCCTGTCACAAACCAAAACAAAGCTGCAGCCAAATGCCACTTCAAGGCCACAAGAAGTCTGCGAAACAACAAAGTACTAGCACAAGACAACATCTCTTCCATGAGGAGTACAAAGTAGATATTTTAATACCATTTGGCTCTCAAATACTTGACAAGCTAAGTTTTAAAAATGCAGAGACTGGACTTTCCATAGTTAAGTTAAATGCAATGGTTAACCTTGGGCTTTTAAATATATTGTTTATTTATAGTTAAACGTTAACATCTTAACCGAAATCTGCAAGCATGCAGGGACGTTCTTTCAGTGATGTTTCTGTTTAAACTGAAGTCCACAGTAGCCACACGTTCCGGTTTTTGTATCCTTGTCCTGTAAAAAATAAGAATACAGGAATTGCCAGTTTCATTTTATACTGAATTCGTCTTTTAAAAAAAAAAATCACAAAGTTTCCTTTATTTATATGTGTCATCTTAAAATGGCTCAATATAGCCAAGGAATAGAGCAGAATCTTACTTGAAACATTGGAAGCAACAAAAACAGTATGAGGTTCGTGCTTGATTTATCATATGCAGTTTCCCTTTTTGCTTCTGCCATCCTTTAACATAATTTCAAATCATAATTTCAAAATTGAGCCAAATGATTTATTTCCAGCTGTAAAGGACCCTCCTACTGAGCTAGACATCTTAAGTCAGTTCAGTCACATCTGTTTTAATGTTCTGAAAAAGATCATTTCATAATTATTTTAATACGAAATAGGACTTGGCATTTTCAAGTTACATCCATATAGGATTTTTTTTTGCCAGTAACAAACTGACAGTTACTTCTAGAAGGAAGGAAAATTCAGGAAGATTCTGAGAGAAAATCCCAAAGAAAAAGTTTTGGAGAATAGTAGCAGATACTACCAGTATAAAATTTTATTATTCTCTCCAAAGGGTAAGGGTTTGGGTTTTTTTTTAAATTTAGAAGTGTGATTGACTGCAGGCTGTTGTAGTCCATCTTAATACCACAAAAGACAAGACAGCTAGGTAGACACTATGAGATCTTCCATGATTTAACAATATGATTATTCACAGTCATGAAATTAAGTGAACTTAAGCTTTCCCTTCCTTAATACAGGATTAGCATTGAAAAATCAAGACTACCCCCCGTCCCAGTCTGGATTTAAATCATTAGGACTAGCGGAAACAAGTCGATCTAATACTATTCTCTGTTTGCAGACATTAGGATTCAAGAACTTTACCATAGACATCTTATAACTTGATCTTTAGCACAAAAAGATCTTAAAAGTCACAAGAAAGACCTACAGCATTCCTCTGGAAGAGCAAAGCACAAGTCAAAGGAAACAATGTCAATTCAATAGCTCAGCAGAGAGCTTTAGAAGTTGACTAATGGATACAAGCTTCCCGAGCTTTATGAAGTAAACCCAGACCATGTGACTTTGAAGAAAATAAAATGAATCATTACAAAGTGTTTACTTTATTCAAAATAGAAGCGTTTGAGATGATAATTGGGAGTTGCAACAACAGTGACACTAAAAAAAAAAAAAACACCATTTCTCCCCCCCACAATTCCTCTGGATATTAAACAAATGTCAAAGCTGAGGTAAGCAAGCAAAGATTTTAACTGTCATCTGCATTCAGGGTCTGTCCAAGAGCAGTACCAGAGCAGCAGGCACTGTTGATTCTATCGAGTTCATGAGTAGCTACATATTCTTACTCTCTAGAAATACACTAGAAACTATCATTACTGTCAGGGTAAATAGGAAAATAATGAGACATTTATTCTTCAATTCTGATCATGATGGAAGCTTTCAATCTTCAGAACTACCAAAGACTGAAAGAGTTCCCTATACAAACACACTTTAAGAAGATAAAAAGCACTGAACTAGCAAAATTCAAAATAAGCCACGTATTCCTAAGAAAATTTCAAATGTATCTTCAATTTACACAGTGGCATTTAGATATTCAGAGTAAGCATCTCAAAACATAGTAAGCAATTATTTTTACTTACAAGACGTTGCTTCTTCTTACATATTACTTCCTACTTCATTTCCTTTTCCCTAAGATCTCATTGACCTAGCAAACAAACCCAAATTAAGTGCAAAAAATTCCTGGCAACTTCAGCGGAAGCCCTCTAACTCTTCTGGGTAGAAATCTTAGTATTGTATTACATATCAAATCAAGTGAGTATCTCAGGTAGTTACACCTTTTTACCTCATTAAAGAAACATGTCAAAAAGCAGATGATCTTACAAATGAGAATTAGAAGGCAAAACATTCTATATAAAGAACAAAGATATTACCAAGTTTATGTATACTTTAGGATGTCCCAAAGCTCCACCACCACCATCGCATGATATCACTCTGCTTTCAACTTCACTCACAGGCTGCTCTGCTATTAAATCAATGGCAAAATTCCTGTTCACCTGCAAGAGAAAAAGGAAGCTCTTGAGATATCTTCCCTACTCAAACAGAAAGCTATTGCTGTTTACCGCCTCCCCAAGCAGTTCCAGCACAGCCATATTAAGAAGTTCCTACCTATGTTTCTTCCCCTCCCCTCTGCAGTTGTAACAGCTCTCAGGGCTGCGCTATAAACCACATCAGTGACCCGATTGTGTTAAACTCTGCAAAAATATTCCCCCTGGCCTGAAACAGGGCCACAGCAGTGGTCAGGTTTACAATGTAACCTAAACAGTTTCAGCAAAGCGATGGCACGAACAAGCAACCAAGAACAGAAGATATTTAACCAGCACTATCTCTGTACTGTACCTTAATGACTATATGATAAAATTGCAAAAGACTCCCCACTGATAAACTCAAAATAACTGTGGGACAAGGAAGATCAGGTAATTTAGAGCCTCTCACCACGCGCCTAATTCCATCACTGCACATAAATCTCAGGAAAACACTAACTTGGTGCATAACAACAGTTAAAAAGCAAATTGTTCAAAGTTACAAAAAGAAAACAAACCCATAAACATCATTAGGCTAATCTATAAATCCATACTATACACATTTCCTGAACACCATGTCATTGACAGTGGGACTTTTTACTAAAGCTCATCTACGTGGACTGACACATGTAACCATTTCTGGACAGTGCTAGGCCTGTGACAGCATAACCTGCACCTAAGCAGAAACTACCGACTCAGCCATAGTGCTTTCCTCACTCATTTATGTCATCCTCTTCCCATTAGCTCAGAGCCAACACCGAGTAGACAATCATCGCTACACCTGCCCTCCCTCCCCTCCCCGGCCATGTAAACATACTCCAGGAAGGGAACTGTCTATTTCAAAGAGAGTTCTATACACAAGAAAATATAAAATACTATATAAACCTAAAGAAGGCACTATCAGCTGCTCTATGTATAAGGCTCATAAACATGCTGGTATTTGACTGAAAACTAGATTCCTAGGAAAAAGCATAAGATACCTAAGTGTCCATTAAATAAATCCTTAGGAACTACAACGATTATTTTACATAGTTCTATTACACAATATCTTCAGATTCTTTCTCCAAGCCTTCAATGAAGTCTACCCAAATTTGCATTTTTGGTACAGCACAGGAAAAATTAGTTTTGTTAACACAAGGATTTTCTTTACCTAAAGTTGATAGCTTACAAAAAGTTAATGTTTTGTTAACTTTCAGTTTTGAAGCAAATGGACAACATCAAGAACCTCACGACTTAGGGCCCACGTGCACAAGTCACATGCAATCTTTGTTAACTTGCAAGGATTTTTACTGCTGCTTAACAGTCAAAGTTTTGCATCCTTCCTTTTATGCTAAAGAAAGGAGGAGACAACACCTTGATGCATCTCTGCTTCAAGATCAGAAACAGAGCTCCACTCTTCCTAACCCAGTCCTATTTCTTAAGCACAAAAATATCTGTGGGAAGAGTACCTCTCCTCTCACATCCAACCATTACTTGTTTATGATTCAGCCTACTAAACAAGAGTCTAGGAGTTTGCAGAGAAAGTGTGCTAGAGAAAAACTAAAACATCATGAGAAAAAACTGTGAGAAAAAAAAAAAAAAGAGGGAGGAGGGGGTTCAGTTACATACATCATGTCCCTTCAATTAAAGTACAGTAGGAGTTTGTGCGGAAGGGGCCTTTTTTCCTAAGCCCGTCCAAACAGAACACTCCTTCCTCAACGCATAACTCCATGAGCGATTTTTTTTCTGGCAGTAGTGCCAGCTTGACAATCCCATTGCTGCTCGTTTCCACCTACTTGCTTGTGCCAGTACATTGTCTGTGAGACTGAGCGATAAAAATCAGACTTGGAACTGACCCAACCCCAAAAATCCAGAGAAAAAGAAAAAGGTTATATTTAAACCAGATCAGCTCTGGTGTCAGGTTCATTTCATGGCTCCAGTTGCTGTACTGGCACAACAGAAAGAGTAGAGCTGAAGCGGAAACTGCCGTGTAGTATTAGTTTCTGTGGTACTTTAAGGATTATATAAGGAGAAGATTACACTATTCTGGCTGCAGCAGATACAGTTTAATAGCTACCATTCTTTGTTTTCTCACAGCTCCTTGTCTTAGGCTGTTGCCAGAGATCATTAATCTCACAATTCTGGATTTTGAACATTCAAACGGGCAGCGTAGAGAACAATGATTTCAGTTAAAACACACTGATTCCATTACCCAAACAATTAGACTGGCAGAACTGAGATGACAATACCCCATAATCTGGACCTGTGCCCGCTGGGCACGGCAATTGCTCAGGGAGGCTATGTGCAGAACCAAGGTGAGGGCCCAGGCTTTGTTATCAGGGACACTTGCATCCAAAGACTGTATTCCGAAAGGACTAAGTAATGAAGGCTGTATTTGTTAGATAAGAAGTTAAGTTCGGCTAAGAGGGGCACCCTGAAGAAAAAAGGAAGAAGTAACTGAGAAAGGACAGTCACTAACTTCACAGGCTAGCTTTAGCACCAAGGCAACATTCACACTACAGACACTGCTATAATATCTAATACTAGCAGCTGAGACATATTTGGGGAACTCTTATGTAAAGGCAAAGACTAGAAATATATTTCATTGCTAAGCTCAGTTTAGGACTGTTTCAGTATTTAACATGTAGGTGTTTTTCCAATTTCATAACTAAAAAATCTGGCATTAAATCTTGTTCAATAGACTTAAAACTTTTGTGCTGGGAAAGAGAAATTGGGCTGAACCCAAAACTCAGGGGGAATAATAAAAAAAAAAAAAAAAAGGCAAAATAGTTGTTCATGAAAGCACAGCAGAGTGACACGTACCCTAAGATATACTACGGCCAAGGAGCTTTTCTTATGAAGTTACTGAAGTACCACAAAAACAAGAGTGGCATTAGGAAAAGACTTACTTTCTCAGGTATAAGTTAGCACTATCCTCCCAGAAGGAGACTACTGAGACACACCACAGGGCTCTGAAACAGTATAAGTGACGTTTTCAGTTAATTATTTCCCATTTAGAATTCCTATCTTTGCCAGGTAGCACGGGTTTAATAGTACACACCTTATGAAAGCCACCAGGCTACATTGTAAATTAAGCAATATTAAAACTCGAGATCAATTTAATTCATTCAGTGTAATTTAGAAAGGGAATATTTATATGTATTATATGTATATGTATTTATATTTATATGTAACTACATTAAAACCTATCACATCTTATGTTTAATACTTCTGTGTTCTATTACACATACACACACCCCTAGCATTAAGACTAAGAGGCTAACCAGATACTCATATGGTGGGAAATGCAATACTTCTAAATTCAGTAAGTCATCTTTAAATGACATCTGTCTTAACCAGAGAGAAGACTGAGGGTCTTCTGGGCTTCTTTTTCCCCTCCCCTCACAACTCTTGTATACAACAGAACGAGTGTTACCGGACAGTTACACAAGTAAGGACAGCCATAACAGTACTATGGTTAAATCTGAATCTTAGTTTCTAGCACAAGTCATGGACAGTATATGACCATGTTATTCAAGAAGTATCATAATAGGTATGTAAAAAACAAGTAAGTAAATAAAACGTTACTGGTATCCTCAGCACATTACTTAGCAGTAAGAAATGTTGAGTATGCTAAGATCATACATGAATTCTACCGTGCATTTCATTTTCTGAGTGGCTATTACTAAATACTTAAAATGATATTCAAATTTTCTCTTTCACCTTCTCTATTTAAGGATGTTCTTCCAGCCGAAAGTCACAAGCAAGTCACTGTATGTGAGGTTTACTGAAATGAAAAAATGCTACCAATTTGAGTAGCAGGCATGTACTTACATAATGAAGCTTACTAGACTTCTTATGTCAAACACTTATGTCTATAACACAAAACCTTCACCTTAATTTTCACACCGCTCTTTCTAACAAAGTACATCTGAACAACACTCTTACTTTTGTAGCTCACCAAAGAAGAAAAACAATGAAAATATCCTGCTGTTTAAGGTTCCAAACGTAGCATTAGCCCTTCCAGGCCCAACTCCATACCACTTTAAAAACTTACAAACCTCTGCACACCTCAGCCATCGTTTTCCACTGTTTTACTCTTAAAGCCTACCAAACTACTGCAAACTTTGTTTTCTGTCAAAAGAAGCTGCCTTATAACCATGATCAAACAGCAAACAGAACTAGGAGGGTACACAGAAGCTATTATATGTGGTCTTGAAAGAAGACTTTTCACTTTATAAAAAGAAAGAAAAAAACAAAACTAAAAACAGAATAATTAAAAAACAGAAAAAGAAACCTAAAAACAGAATAACTAAAACAGAAAAAAACAGCAAAATCCCAAATTCAACTTTTTTTTTTGATGACCATATCAAAAGACATCAATATCAAACATAAGAATGAAAACCATTCCCGCTCCCCTGAGGGAAAGCAGAATGAGCTACCTCCTTTTGTCGTCCAACAAATCTAATTCTTCTGTAATCGCCTTCTTCGTATACCTGAAATACAAAATAAACTTCATTTTATTTAAAAAGCAATGACCATAAAGAACACAAAGGCTTAGAGTGCTATCAAGACCAGATGATAGATAAAACTAAATCTAAATCACTTCCTCAGTTTCAAATATCATCATCTTGTAAGCAAGTACACAATGGGAAAAGTAACTTTCATTTATCTTGCAAAGGATGATGGTATCTGTGAGGCAGGGAAGAAGGAAGCAAGGAGATGGGGAGGGGTGCTAAAGCCAGTAAACAGAAGCCTTAGCTGTTACCACAGAGGAAAAGAGAAGATTTACTAGTTATAATGCTGGTCCCTGATCCCACACGGCCATCTGGAAGGTGAACTAAACTAGGAAATTTCATTTTCACATGTTTGTGGTTGAGGCAAGTAACCACAGAAGTAATCCTCCAACATTAACTCCAGTCAGTCACGACTCTTATGTTTCCACAAAACATTACCCAACCCTCCCCAGTTATGAGCTCAGTTTTTACATTAAAGAACAGGTAAAATGAAGCTAGAAGGCACTTACATAAGATGAAAGACAGAAAAAGGACATATCAGGAAGGCATACATTGTGCTTTTAATGTCTGATCTACATTTAAACTTCTATAAGTCATTACGAGAGAACAGGAAGATACTTTAGACCTCTGGGAAGGAAGAGTCTATTAATAACTTATGCTCTGTTTCCAGTTGAAATGTAGCTTCCACTCACAGATTTCACTGATTACTTTCTTAGCTGGAAGAATCATTGCTGTCTAAAATTTACCCCCCCCTCAAAGGATGAAGCATCAAACTGCATCTCAAGCTTCTTTTGGAAAAGCAAAGCAGATCAAGACTCTTAGGTTCCTCACTGCACAGCCTTTTGCTCTACACTTCTTAAAAGCAAAGGCGGAAAAAAGAAAAAGAAACTTCACAACCTATTCTATGCTTCAAGCCTCAAGTGGGAATAACAAAACTCCTGGCTATGCTTTAAAATCAGTGATGACCACATAAATCAAAGTTGCCTCCCAGCCTTTAATCCTCTGTTTCTACATCAAACGCAATGTTTCTCTTTGCCATAGTGTCACCCTGGAAGTACTAAGTTGTTTGTCCATCATGTCAGCACAAGCATTTTCAAAAATCATTGTTTTCTTGGACAAGTCTCCCATCTCCTCAGGCTAGCTTTAAATCCTAGCTTCTAAACACAACAAAAATGCAAAGGTGTTTTTTTTAAGTGTATGAGGACAGATCATTACTAAAATATAAAATCTTAGAAAAGAAAAAAAAAAGAAAGCCTTGTGGAGACAGCACTAAACCAGTACTTAGAAAACACAGGATTTATGCCCAAATGTGCCTATTGCCTGCGGGATGATATTAGCAAAGTCACATTCGTGCAATTCTGTTTTTCCTCAAGAGAAAAACAGAAAGCTTATTCTTTTTATAACATACTGTGTTCTAAGGACAAAGAGTTTAGCCTGCTACAAAAGACAGCAGTATCCACGAAAGCGGTGAAAAGGTCTCTGTGACAAGATCTCTAGGTGAAAAGAAGCTCCTGATGCATATGCAGCTACAGCCAACAGAACATTCTTCTCTTGTTCAGGGAATTAATACCGCTACAATAGCGGGACAAAACATTCTCTGCTGGTAATATACTACACCTTATAGTAGACAGTTCAGCTGATTCAACTACAGCAAACAGAAACTGCAATGTAGACAAAATACAGGCATGAGAACTGCCAGACAATCTAACAGATCCAGGATACAGGAAGTACAGAATCATCCTTTCCAAGAGGTACCCTCCTAACTGTCAACTTTTCAGCTCTGTTAGTTATCTGCTAACTACTAATGAAGCCATTCTCAGTAAACAGTATTTTTTTGAAACTACATATACCTTTTGTCTACACGTTATCCAACAGCACCAAGTTCCACAGTATAAACGCTAAAGAAGCACTTCATTTTGCTATAAGTCTGCTTTCTGAGAAAAAGCTGTACCCTGTCTAGATACTCACTTCAGAAAACTATAAATACTTATCTTCTAAAAGCTTTCTCTACCTGTCATAGATCTATGCTCCTTTATCTCAAGCCTTAGTCACCACTTAAACTTAGCAGCTTTCTGAAAACGTTATTGTAACAATTTAACCCTAACCACAGCCAATGGGCTATAAAGCTATGAACACTTTGAGGTTAATATTCTATTTAAAGTAAAAGCAAAGGCAGAGCTGGAAGACGTACACAGCGAAAGTACTAGCTTGCTACAGCCACAAAGAACGCAGACAGGATAAAGTCTTCAAAGCACGCAGCGTTTTATAACCCGCACTGCCGTAGTCGGAAAGCCCTAGGAGATTTCAGCCACGCAAGCCCCCCCAGAGAGCTCCGTGAGCCAGAACGGACA